TCTTCACAGTCAAATTTACCTACAAGAAAATAGTAAATATCAATTGCACCATTGCCAAACATAATAATATCCCCAGAATTAAAACTTTTCTATAGCTTATAGGGAACGACAAATTACTGACCAACTCAGAAAGAGCTCGCAGACATGTGACAGCAGATGAAAGATGCCCTATGTGAAATTATTAGATAGAAGATGTCAACCACATACTGAGATTCTACCCGAAAATCCTGCTGATATGGACTGAACTGCTGGGTACCCAGAAAATGGATAAGTTTCTGAGTAACAACATCAAAGAGTGGATCATTGAGAATATCGGAACAAGCCAATCCCTTTCGCCAAGAATTGAGAACTGGCCTACCTTCTTCAGCTCTTTTATCTGGTATATTTGGAAAAGAATAAATCATGTGATATTCGACCCAGAAATGATCGAAAGGGACTCTATTATTCAACAAGCCATAAGACATACCCAAGATCTTCAAAACACAGAAATTATTAAAACCGGAAATACCCAAACCAGAAATAGCAATAGATCACAACAGAAATTGGCTTTGGGTTTTTGGTAGGAAAATCGAGACTTGTTCAATCTTAAAAGCAGAACTTTGGGGCATCCATGAGGGATTAAATGTTGCTTGGATGAAGGGTGAAAGAAAAGTAATTTTAGAATCTGACAACAGTGAAGCCATCAACCTCATCAAGAACAAATCGACTGAACACATGAAACTTACTATTTTGCATCACATAGAGAAATTATTAAAGAAAAATTGGATGGTTGAATTAAAGCACATACCTAGAGAGGCCAATCGAACAACGGATATAATCACCAAGCAGATATGGAGATATCAGGGAGACACAATTTTGCTGCAGAATTCCCCCAAGGAAGCTGAGAAGTTTCTAATTGCTAATAAAATGGGCAGCTAAGCAGCCCTTTGTACATTTTTTAACAAAAACAAAATAGCGGGTTTAACTATCAATCAACTATTTATGCTCAAATAAGTTAAAAGCTCTTCAAAGCGTTGTTTACCAAACACCCCCAATAAAAAATAGGTTTTTGATTATATTTTATTTTTATAATTTTCAAGTTTGGACTAAAAATATTTTGTCTTAATTTTTTAATGATCGATTAATTCAGATTGAATTGTATAAAATTTTATTATGAGAGCAATCACCTCTATCTTATTTATTACATTCATAATATCATGATTCAAATTCATAATTCTACTTTAAAAATTAAATAAATTTATAAGTAATTCAAATCAATTTTTCCAATTAATTTAAATTCATATTTTATTAAAAACAATATATCAATAGTTAATAGTAATAGTTATTGGAGCTTAATGATAAAAGTTAGTATTAAGCGGAAGCATAAGAAACTTCCTCTTCTTTGTCTCTTTTTGGAGAATTATCATTTAAGCTTTGTTAATGTGAAATTACATTCCCTAAACATTTATTTAGAGGTCTTATTTGGGTTGGTTATAATGGCTTTCTATAATTTTTGGAATTTTTAATATAAAAAAGTAAATAATTTTATTGCTATAAAAATACTTTAGGGTTAATAATTAAATAAAATATTATCTTATCGAATAGCACTCTTATTGCATGGGCAGAGCTGGTATATGGTACCCAAAAGATTTTAGGGTTATTATACCTAGAAATTTCGAGTTCGAGCACCAATAGATGTAGTAGAGTGATTGAGCGGTCATTGTCAAATAATTGAGAGTATTTAGAACATATATTACTTTATATTCACTTTACTTAATCAAAAAAATTGACAACCCCTAAAATAGAAATTAAATCTTATACATTTTATAACTAATTTATAAAATATTTAATAGCAAAAAATTTAAAACTCTATTTCAACCCTACTAACACCCACCGTTCCTGGAATCTATTATTATTATTATTATTGTTGTTGTTTATTATTGTTTTTACTTATTTAAACAAATTTAAATATAAAATTTCAATTGGACCCAAAAAGAATTAAACTACTCTGTGGGTCATTTTTGGAGTTCTATTTTGACCATTTGAATTATAATATTTTTCAATTAAGTCACTAAACTATTAAAATAGTTTTAATCAAGTCGCTAACATTTAACTGTTAATGAAATTGTTAATGTACCAATTAAATAAATTTGTATAATTATACATTTGGTCCTTATTACTTACACACTATAGATTTGGTCATAATTTTAATTAAAAGTGATCCAATTATCCTCTACCAAAATGGTAAGGAATGATATGTAAGTAATTATTTTTATTTAAATTTAAGATCAAATTGATAAAATGTGTAAGTAATGAGGGCCAAATATATAATTAAAAAAATTTGCTTAACTAATACATCAACAATTCTATTAACAATTAACAATTCGTGGCTTGATTGAAACCATTTTAATAATATCGTTACCTAATTGACAAATTCATAGTTTAGTGTCAAAATAGAGATGTCCTAATAGTTTTGTTACTAGTATAGTTTACCCCAAAAAAAAGGTCAAATTAAACCTTAAAGTTAAGATCAAATACCTAACTGGACCAAAAATATTTTTAGATATCAAATTTATAACATCATAAACTCGATCAAGATATTAGAGATAGATCGAGACGGTTAAGATTGAAACCGAAGTGACTCGGGTTCTCAAATAGTTCTTTTTTTTAATAGAATAAGATGATTACAATGTAGTACTTTGTTCAAGATCTTTTTTTAGCCATTAACAGCGCAAACACGTCCTACAGATGCAACTGTTCAAATATAAAATCTCAAATAAGAATAATAGTCATTTTAACCATTCAATAGATTCGGGTCTCACACGGTTCTTAATATGTTTCCACATGTTCCATTTATTAACCTATAATATTTGTATACTGCTAATATCTTAGACCCTTAGAAACTACGTTACTAGATATTACCAAATCAGCTTATTATTAAGAATTACTTGGTTCATAACATCTAAATATTACCAGATAACATGCATAGTAAAATCCAAAATATGAAATACATAAAAATAGTTTTCAATGTCTCAAGCCACTAACTAAAACAAAATCACATAGAAAATATGATCTTAAATAAAGATGAACTCTTAAAATTAAAATTATTTTCTTAAGTTATTTTGGGTGGGGGAACAGAATAAAAAGTGAATGAGCTATAAAGTTTAATGTGACCTAATAATACATTGAAAAAATATAAGAAAATAAACGATAATTTAACAAAAGGCCATGCTCTTCAAATTTAGCAAGATATCCAAATCAGACATGCAGACATAAGAATCATACAATAGAGTTTCACAAATATCATACTATCATTCTGTGTCTGTCCGAACTAGTAGGATCGGCTACCCAATCTATCCGTTACACACCAAATGACCAGATGAGCAAACTCGATAAAATTAATTCACGGTTCAATTCAGTTTGGTAAACCGGATGAGGGATGAAAGGCTTACCATAAGTGTGGAATCAGGTATTTAGAGGGCGGAAGCGGTGTCGTTCGAAACTGTTATTGTCTGATCGTGATACTTGTAATTATCGTAATAACACTCATTGTATCGGCAATGATGATAAACACAACGCGTCCAATAAATCTTAAATTCAACTTGCTCTTTTGATCAAGTCTCAGAACCTTATTTCGCAGAGATACATTGAAGAACAGTACTTGATCTTCCTCTTGGTACTCGATGCCCTTTCTTTTTCGATCAATATAAGACCACTTTCTATCAGATACCACTTTTAATCGATCCTAAATAAGTCTAACGTTATCCTTGGTCTCTTAATTCAATTTTATACCCAAATCTTATTTTCACCTTAATTCAACATAGTAGAGTGTGATACTTATACCCATTCAAAGTCATATAATGTCTTATGAATACGTAACTTATAATGATTATTATATGCAAATTCAGCCAACAAAAAAGTGTTTTTCCCAGTTGCCTCATAACTCAATAATGCAATCCATTAACATATTCTCAAGAATATGTATCACTAGTTAAAACTGACTATCAGTCTACGGAAAAAAATCATACTAAAATCCAATTTAATACCCAATGTCTCATGCAACCTCTTTCAGAATATGGATGTAAAATACGAATTATGGTTGAATATTATCAACACTGATACCCTATATAATCTTACAATCTGGATTTATATACAACATAGTCAGCTTTTACACAGAATAATCTCAATTTATGGTTGAACATCACTCTTATATCAGGCATCAATCTTATACTCAATGCATCGATCACAATATTAATTTTACATGGATGGTAGTTAATCACGTGTAGTCTTTCTATAACTCAATTCATCTCCGTAACCTCAAGTTCCTAAGGTAGAAGACACTTGAGGCTCTTATAATATGTATAGATATAACTTTTCTAACTATACATGTAATATCCTTGTATCCGACCTATTAATCGACTATTTCATATTGTGTATTAATTTTTTTTTGGAAACTTCATATTGCGTATTAATTTTTTTCCTAATTGTACATGTAATGTCCTCGTATCCTACCTATTAATTGACTATTTCATATTGTGTCACTCAAGGCAGTGTTCTCCAATCACAAGTCTACATTTCAACTATTAATCTTGTTTAAATGACTTAATATGTTATCCCATTAGATCAAATAATAAATAATTATTATTTGATGTGAATGCTCATTTGAATAAGTGTGTTCGGAATAATTACCTATATTTAATGGTTGTTATTAAAAGCTCAGTGATAAAATTAAATGTTAAAATTTAGGGTTGATGGAAGTGTATACCCATTAATTAATATATGAAACTTCCTTCGATTTTTTTTGTTGTTGAGAATTTTCATTTAAGCATTGGTAACGTAAAACTACATTCCATGAACATCGATTTAGAGATGTTCTTTGTGTTAGGTTAGGTCTAATGGTGGTCTAGAAAATCTGGAGATCTTCATTTAAATCATTCGATTCAAACTCACAAATTCAAATAGTTTATTTCAATATTTTAAAAATATATATTTTTATTTAACAATTAAATAAAATATTATATTATTAATGAAATCTGAATGCAATTGATATCATTATTATTGAAATATTTTAGAGATTTTATGTTTGAGAGGGCTTAAACATACAATAATATTTTATTAGTATCAAGTGGGTCATTTAAAGGGAATTGAGAAGAAACTTACTAGTTTTTTTTGTTTATTAGGGCATCTGAGTTTTTTATTTAACCCATTAGGGCACCCGGTTTTTTATTTTGGAGAATACGTCAAATGCTACAATGGAGCTGGAATTCGTCACCTCGAGGTCACGAGTTCCAATAAAATATAATTTTTTATTAAATTTTATCACATCGAGGTAAAAATTTTGAATAAAATTTTTTTTATTAAAATTCATCACCTCGAAGTGACGAATTTCATGCACTATAGAAAATGTCGTAGATCCCAAAATAAAAGTGTTTGTGTCCTATTTTACATTTTTTTTTTCCTGGCGGCCTATTGTGCTAAAAACCCGAAACTAAATAAAATGAAATATTGTCAGTGTCTAGAGGACTTATTTGGCCCTAAATAGTCCATTTATGGACTAAAACAGCCAAATTTTTATTTTTATGAAATTATCACATAATTTTATACAAATTAATCATAAAAAGTTTTAATGAAATTTTAATTCATTAATAAAAGAAAATATTCAATTAAAACTTTGAAAATAGATTATGTTTTTATCATTGGTTTCTACAAGATAAAAGTTACACATTAGCAAAGCTGGTTTCTGTACAAGTAGCCCATATGTTTCTATATTCTTAGCCCATCAATTCATAATTAATCTCACCAGTTTCCTTCAAAGCCCATCCTCCCACATATTTGACATAGGTCGAGTAAAATAAAATAAAATGATGTTTTATATATATAAGATTGATATTTGGTAAATTTATGATAAAGTTTATTCATTTTAAAATAATAAATAAAATAACTCATCAAGTGATCCCAATGGTAAAAGAGAATGCTATTTTCTCTGAAGGTCTTGGATTCGAGTAGTTGTGTCTGCAGGGTGTGTATATGTTATCAATTGGTTAGTAAAATTTTAAACAATACTACTTTGTAATCATCCCATATTATTCAATGAATAATAATAGGTTGGTTTTTACTCCTATTTTAGAATTAGAAAATTTTATTGGAGAGTTGTTCTTATTATGGGTCTAGGCGATATATGATGCATGTTGTTCTGTGTGGTACTCTTTTTCTCCACTTAGATTTAGGAAGATTTTTAATAAGTCCTACATCAAGGTTTTTGCTATTAATAACATATTATGTTGTAAAGTACAACAATTTTACATATTTGAATTAATTTGAATCATTAAACTAAATTTAAGTATCAATTTGAACTACAAACTAAAATTAGATACCGATTTGATCCTAAAAACCAAATTTAGGTACTTGATTGGACCAAAGAAGGTTAGATACTAAATTAAATCTTAAAAATCAATTTTTTTTAATTAAACTAATATGATTATAAAGTAATATTTTTTCTAATTACTCTCAATTATTTGACATTGAGCGCTCAATCATCTAGCTGCAGTCGCTGGTACTCGAACCCGTGACCTCAAGGAACAACAACGATTCTTTTAATTACTTTGAAACCAGATTGTGATACTAGAATACATATTTACCCTTTATCCTTTTAGTATGATAATCTCGTCAGCTACAAGTGTATTTAGGAAACCTAGTCGTAAACAACGCTAATTAACCATAATACCATTTAAATTAAACTTAACCGATAGTTGATATTAACACTAAATTTCGGTTTAAAATGATTCTTTCCCATCTTTATCTCCAATTTCCACGTTCACCATCAAGCCCAGACAACACTGATAGCAACCCTAAATGTTGTTCTTTACCATCATTCCTGATAACTTTCGAAACCCCAAGTAAAGTTTTCCTTTATTCCATTGCTATCAACCACTCCGTACAATTCAATCAACGTCGCCGAGAAAATAATTATTCTCGATCTTTTTATATCATCATGGAACGTAATTTCGTAATCGGCTTCATCTTCATCATCATGATTCAAGGTGAAAGAAAGTTTCGAATTCGTCATATATCAATCTCTCTTACGAATTCGAATAAGTTGAGATCATATCTGTAAACAAAATCCGGGTTAAAAAATCAGATCATAATTGACATTAATGGAGAAAAGCAAAATCTCACCCAACACATTGTCGGCCTCAATTATAGGGGGGGGGGGGTGGGGGCAGCAAATATATTTGTTATCTTTGAACGAGCCGTGATGTTCTATTCGTCTTTGATTACGACTTGTGCAGATTATATAGTACACTGCCGTAATGGTGATCTTTTAAGTGGTTGCAATCACTTGTAAAATGTAAATCACAGTTCTTTTCTAAATTCTATGTTTGAAAGCGGAAGATTCCTTCAAAGCTTAAAACAACCGTACATGTCCTTCTCGTTTGTTTCCACATACTCGGTTCATTGAAATTGCTATTTAATAATATAACTATTATCTCCTAATATTTTAGTCTTATAAAATCCTAATCACTTTTCTCTCAAAAATCTTGAAGCTATTTATTTTTGTTTCATTCTTTGTTGGTACACGACGGTATCAGTTTTTGTGTTGATTGTTGCCGTTGATATTTTTACTTTTTCTTTTAACTTTTTATATCACATCTTCAATTTTCCTTTTTTTTTTTTAGTTTCAATAATTATGCTTTTATGGTATGATTTTCTCTACCTTTATAATACGTTTTTTGTCGTTTGGTAATTGTGGTTTATCTTTTTTTCTCGGGGTTGGAATTGATATCGCTACCATTGATTAAAATGACGATTATTTGTCATCATGCTAATCTTTTCTGTTTTGGATCATTGGATTGGATTTAGATACGCGATTTGCGTTCACAAATAGTTTTTTTTTCTCATTTCGGTCGATTTTGATTTATGATTTGTCTCATTTCTTGGTTCGTTTGCTGATGTGATCAGATCTGTTTATATTTATATTTTGTTCGAGCTTTTTAGTTAGGATTTTAACATTTTTCTTGTATGGTTATTGTGTGATCTTAAGTAGCTGGGTTTTGTGTTAATAGTCATAGGAAATGACTTAGTTATGTGGTTAGTTTACGTTTATGATCATAAAACATTTATTGTAACTTTGGATATTTCATCTTTCTAATAAAACTAGCCCCTTCTGTCAAACAACTATTATCTCTTTTCACTTCTAAACATGATGTCTTCCTGCATTAGCTCCCGTGTTTGTCTTCTTCAACTTTCCAGACTCCATGTAGAAGACGCCGAGTCTTCTATAACTCCTTATAATGACATCAATTACTCTATACGTGTTTTATTATGTACAGTAAAATTATTCTATGAGAAAATAAATTGAAGTGTTTTCCCCCTAAAAGCATTATTGCAGTGATTGTGTCCACTGTATTTATTAGTTAAAAATATTGTTTTTATGGGTAAATTACAAATTTGATAATTGAAATTTATTCTCTCCTATTTCATTCATTTAACTTTAAATCTTTTCAATTTTCTCATTAAACTTAGTACATTGGGTTTTTTTATCACTCAAACAGCGTTAAAATGAGCAATTATATAGATGCAAAACGACGTCTTTGTTTTGAAAATTTTTATTTGTTCAAAACTACGCCATTTTTAATGTCGTAAACTATTTAATTGTGGAGTAACCAAAATAGGGGGAGAGAGTAAAGTCCAGGGACCAAAAAACCCAATGTATTAAGTTCAGTGAAGAAATTGAAAACTTTTAGAGTTTATTGAGCAAAATAGGAGAGAGAGTAAAGTTCAATGATGAAATTTGTATTTTACCCAATTTTTATTACATAGAAGTAACATGTCGAGGGTTCTAATTGGTCAAAACCTTCCTGCATGAAGGGGTTTAACCGACCAATAGCCAAGCTCTAAAGTAAATTGAATGACTTTATATTAATATATATTCATTCCAATAATGTTACATGAATAAATTATTTTATTCGTAATTTGATAACAACACGTTTTGTGTAAGAAATATTTGATATTTTTAGTATTATGATTTATGAAAAAATATATATTGATGGTATGCTGAGTGATAGAGTTAGGAAATTGGCTTTTGGGCACGTAAATTATGACCCATTGGCCTTTGCATGTTATGGAAGGTCGATAATAAATTGGAAGATTAGTGGAATTGGCAAATGAGTTGGGGACCAATCTAATTAAGTCTTGCACATTCTTTCATATTTGAACATTTCTTTCAATTTCTTCATACTTGCAATGTGTTACTCATGGTGTGTTTATGATCGAATCGTAGCTAATTTTTTTTAATATAAATAAGATTAGGTTCAAGTTCATTTGATAATATGTAATTATTGTTTGAAGTAGGAATGGGCATGGGTCGAGTTGGATCGGGTTTTTGGTCCACCTGACTCGACCCGAGATCTAGGAATCCTCCACCCGTGACTCGACCCCACTCAACCAAAACAAGATTTCACCTGACCCGATATATAATTTAAAAACCCGATCTGATCCGAAATAATAATAAAATATTATTTTTATTCAATAAAAATAGTGACTTAATTGAAAAAAATAATATATAGAGGGTTATTATTGTAATTATTTTTAAATATATAAGGTAAAATTATAATTTTGTTGGGTCGGGTATTTTTCACTCTAAACCCGAACCCGACCTGACCCGAGCATCATATTTAAAAAAACGTCGCGAAATCAATTTTTTTTAAAAAATAACCCGACCCAATCAGGTCGGGTCGGAACCCATCGGGTTCGGGTCCCATGCCCATCCCTAGTTTGAAGGCTTAATAGAAAAATGCTCAAATCATTTTTATTAGTTAGGTATCTAAACTACTTTTTTCAGTCAATCAAAGTGTCTGGCCGTTATAAATTTTACCATTTTAAGTGCATCGATCGTAACGACCGTTAAAATTTTCTTTAAATGACACACCTCACGTTTATATAATTTCAAGAATTTTATTTTTCCTCAAAAAATTAAAAATATTATTATATTTTAAAAAACCTTTAATTTTTTTGAAGTTACAAAAAATCCTAAAAATCATCCCCAAATCTCTAACCTAGTCCTACTAGATCCCTTTTCGGCTATGACCACTGATGTCGTTGTTGCCCTTGTGATCTCCTTTGTCAGACATAGTATCCTGTGTCGTCATGGTCGTTGTTGGAGTTATCAGGTCGTCTCAATGTCACACTTTTGAGATTTTTGTTCTTCGAGTTTAATTCGTTGTTTGGGGTTCATCAGGTGGTTGTGTCATCGGTAAAGGTTCGGCCGAGCGAAGGTTCAATAGATATAACGGTGGAAAATGGAAGCTGCCGGGGAATTGGAATTATGTTTTTCAAATTTTTAGGAATTTATTTTAAGATTTTTCAAATTTTTTTAAATTTTTATAAAACTTATAATTATAAATTTTCATTTTAAAAAATTCAAAATTATTTAAACATGACATGTGTCACTGAATGAAATTTTTAATAGTCGTTACAATTGAGGCACCTAAAATAATAATATTCGTAATGTTAAATGTTTATATTGATCGAAAAAAGTTTAAACAACTAAATGAGAAAAAATGTATAATTAAAATTTTTGTATTAAGCCCTTGTTTGAAAAGAATAAAAATGTTTTTGTATCTATATATTATAATTTAAAGAGCACCCTTCTATAATAGATATATTTGATCATAGTAATGACTTACACCTTACAAGAATGGCATGATGCTATAATACAAGTATTAATTATTTATATTTGATATATTATTAATATAATTACAATAAAAAATTAAATAATTTAAGAAATATGATTGAATGGAATAAATTTCAATTCGAAATTGAAAATTCTAGATGAGAATAACTTATTTTTTTCAAAACCAATGCTTATCTAAATTCCTACAAATAATTGAATCCGACAACTGCTTTATTTATGAAGTGGGCTCTTTTTATTGTTGTCCTGTCGCTTTCGATTTTCCCGTACTCAAAATATAGTTCATATTTTTTTTAAAAAAAATGAGCTAATAATTGAATTCACACACACACACACATATATATATATATATATAGCGTAAACTATACATTTAGCACCTAAGCTATATGGTCAGTTTCAGTAATTAAATTTTATTTTTTCAAAATTATACAACGTTTAGTTTTTGTTTTATTTTAGTATTTCATTATTAAAAACTTAACACTTTTAGTACCGAAACTATTATTTTTGGTTAGTTTTAGTACCTAAACTTTCAAAAAAAATCCAAATTTAGCGTTAAATTTTGAACAGGGGTATTAAAATAAAAACTAAACTTTAGGTATGATTTTGAAAAAAATGATAGTTTAGGTATTAAAATGGATCAAAACTTATAGTTTAGATACTAAACATGTAATTTACCCATATAATGCGCGCGTGTGAAAGAATCATTATTATTAACCTATATATTTATGAATCGTCAAAATTTTTATTATAGGTATTTATTTTTTGGGTAACAAGGAGGTATGATTTATTGAACTCAGTTTGACATTTGCAACTTAGGGGTGGATGCAGAGAGTGTGTGCATCCACAATTGATTATGGTGATCGATTAATCTCTCTATCACATGTATTTTCACTAAAAGATAAATAAATGATTAAAATATTTTTCATTATCATAATTTGACATTTAATCTTTAACCTAATAATTAAGGGATGAGGTGCATAAAATTTGACCCATATCCGATTTTTCGAACTTATTTATCTAATCCGAAATTTAATATAAACCCGATTAAGATGATTCAAAATTTATCCGAAACTCGAAATAACTTGAATCGAACTGAAACCGGCCCGGATTTTAGTTGAAGCGAAAGTAATTTGAACTGAAATTAATTTGAATCAAAAGCAACCCGAACTGAAAGTAACCTGAACAGAAAGTAACCCAAACTGAAAGCAACCCGAAATTTATTTACCCATATCTGATCTGAACCGAATGTCTACCCAATTTTAACTCAACAATTGAGTCTAAGTGAATGAATAATTTATTTATTATTATTATTATTATTATTATTATTATTATTACTATTATTATTATTATTATTATTATACATTTTTAGCATTGATAAATAGTAAAATGGTTCATCATAAATTTTCCTTTTGTTAAAAGACCATCTTTATATTTGATGAAATAACTTCTAGTTCTGAATTTGGATAGTGACAATATATACTCACATTCTTGATTTTAAAGATTTATAAATTCGATTGATTAAAACTTAAACCTCTAGCTTGGAATTTTAGATGTGACAATATATATTCACATAAAATTCTTTAATCATAAGTAATAAAGAGCAACACCAAAAGTTATGACACAAAGAGCGACAACGGTGGACTCAAAAATCTAAAGGTTGACCCGAAATGAAACTGACCTGAATTGACCAAAAAAATCTAATGGTTGATCCGAACAAAAACCAACCGATCTAATATTGACTCGATCAGAAGCCAAAAAATATGATTTTGACCCGACTCGAAGCCAACTAATTTGATATTAACCCGATTGAAAATCCAACCGATCTGGTTTTGACCCGACCCAATACTCAACTCAAATCCGAATTTAAACTGAAGTAGTCTATAGCCAAAATAACCCTATCCAAAATGACCCGACCCAAACCTGATGTTATTCCCACCTCCATGCATAACCATTACATCCCATCTCATGTTTACCATAAAAAATTAATAAAGTTAGTTTATTTTATTTTAAAAATATTTTTGAGATAAAAATAATAAACATATAAAATTTTAGGTGAAAATTGTTTTTAAACTGGGATTGAAAAATATTTTTTAAAAGAGAAAAAAATTATATTTTGATTCTTTAAAAATATTTTTAATAAAATATATATATATATATATATATATATATCATCAATTTTAATATTTTTTAAAGATAATAATTAAAATAAACATCTTATCGAGTTAATATTATTTTTTAACAATAAACCAAAACATTTAAATTTAAAATTATATAATTTAAAATTACTATTCAAAAATAATTTTTTTATCCTAATATGTATTATTATTATTATAATGATAGAGAATATAACCCAAATTTAATTTTGGACCACATCTCATTTTTATTTAGTTTGTGTTTGCATAATAAGGGAAGATAATCACTCCTCTTGGACCTACTTTTATCATCAGAGTCAAATGTAGATGATGATATTTGTCTCGATCGTTGCTCGATATCACCACTCATTGAGCAAAAGTAATATACTATTTAGTAATTTGAACTCTTTTTTCTTTATTCAAGTACCAGACTGTGATCAAATAGGGCCTCGACCCCTATCAGTTTCATAAATCTTTCGAATATAGCATACACGTAGTTTAATAATATTTAAAATAATTTTTTTAATATTTTTAATTTTAAATAATTTATTAATTTTAATCTTTTTATTAAGATTAAATAAATCCTTGAACTTTATAAAAAATCAATAAACACTCAAATTTTCTAAAAAAAAAGTTTAATTAAACCTTTTATCATGTCAACATATACTTAATTTATCATGTCAACATATGTAAACCATCATTTTAAACATATATAAAATATCATTCAGTATCGTTAATTGTCACATCAACACTACAACATTGTGAGGGTTAGCCACTGGTTTAAGACCAAATGGTCTCATTATTGTGCTTCGGTTTTTGGTTTTTGGTTTTGCACTTTGTCCGTCTGCCATCGCAATTCGAGGTTGGTTCCTTTCTGGTTGTGTTACTAGGGGTCATATCACTTTCTTTGTCTAGGTATTTATATGTGGTTTTTTCCCACCATGATTAAATCTCAAACAATTTAATTTTCTTTCTTTTTTGAAGAAATTGAAGACAACTTGAATTGAGATTGATGAAGCAACCAATCACAATATTGAAATTGTCGAGGAAAAAACATAAAATGAATAATTAAAGCAAAAAGAAGATTTGTCTTTTTAGTGATGATTAATAGAAGCCAAATAACCAATAATATGCCCACAAGAAAATATTTCTTTACAAATGCTTCTCTCCAATAATTCAGCGCATGGGGTCCCAAATATTCCAAAACTCCTTTTTCGTTTTCATTTTCATTTTATTACCAATTATGAGAAAAAAAATGTTTGAATAATTTTTTAGCATATAATGTTAAGAAAATGGAACATAAGTCCTAATATTCTAGTTGATCAAAAAGTGAAAATAAGCATTCTTTGAATCGACTCGATTTATGGTTTTATTTATTTTTTATTCAATATATATGTTTACATGGATCTTTCTGATGAATCCCTCCAAGAAGATTTGCAGGAGGAGGTTTACATATATATGTTTGCATGGATCTTTCTGATGAAGGCTTGTTATAAGCAAAGTAAATTTCATTACTCACTATTCACACAGGAGGGAAGTAAGATGGCTGTCATGCTAATATATGCTTATCATCTTATGATTACTGGTAATGATAAAAGGATAATCGAAGAATTAAAAGAAATTGCCTCATAATTAGGGTGAGTCTCCCAACAGAGATTTTCTGCATACACAAAGACTCGAACTTGAGACATTGCTTAAGCGATATCAAGTTGCTTACCACTTGAACCAACCCCTGTTGATACAAAAAATATTATTAGTTTTGATATTTTATTTATTTAAATTTGTCTTATAATAAATTCAAAAATGAATGTGTTTTGGATACTTATTATCTTTTATTTTTGTTGTTCGGATCAAATGGTTTTAATATTTTTTGAATTTAATATTTTAAAGGTGGATACATATGAGTTAATAATATAAAATTTTTGTACTAGATAGACACAAAAAAAATTTAATGTAGACATACTTGATAAAATAGATAATTAACGAAAAAAAATTTAAATTTTAGAATAAAAACGTATCTACTCTAAATTAAGGATGAATTCACCATGGTCTCATTGAAAAAAAATATAATTACCTACATTGAATCAATTTTATCCGTTCCTAAGGATAAAATTACAAATTACAAATTATTCATTGATAGGGGTTGATTCAAGTGATAAGCAGCTTGTATCGCTTAAACAAGGTCTCATTTTCGGGTCCTTGTGTTAATTATAATATAAGATAATTTAAGTATTAAGAGAACTAATAAGTTTTATTACTAATTATTTATTAATATAAATATAATTGAGTTACTATTATAAGTTATAAATATATAATTTTATACTTTATATTATGATTTAAACATGTTTTTAAATGAAAACAGTGTCACTAAAATAAGTGACATTAAACTAAAGTGGACACTTAGAAAATATTTGAGTATTTGAGACGCGTGTGTGAACAATACACAATTTTAAATAAGTTATAATTTAGACATACAATGCAATATTAAATAAATAAATAGATTCCTTCAAAAAAAAAGAACTCTAAAATATTAAACAATATAATAATTTAAATTATGATTGAAACTATTATTAAATAAAAAAATACATACTAATAGAAAATCAAAATAAAATAAAAATAATATTAAATTGTAATTCATGAAACTTTTAAATAAAAAAATCACATAAAAAATGATCTAAATTAAAAACATGCATCAAGAGTCCAAAAGTACTTGTAGTCATGATACCCTTTGCTAGAGAAAGAGCCAAGAGTATTACTACTATAATAATACAAGAAAACATAATTAGAGAAAGGGTTTTTATTTGGTTTTTTATTTTATCTGAATACATGGTTGTTGTTTTCCCAATGCATGGTTCCTCTGTTCGTTTGTTCAAGACGAATCGTTGATTATCGCATAAAGGTGTCAGATGAGATTGCTGTTAAGGGGAAATTGCTTTTTCCGTTGACTATTTTGGTTCTTCTTCGAGTTTCTCTCCTCCATGTTTGATGCTCGAAGTCGTTTGTGCGTTCAGTTTTTGTACGTCATTGCTTTACTTGTTAATGGTTTTGTTTATAGGATATCTCTAAGCGATCATTGTTATATGTTATTTTTTGGCAAGACGTTTGTTGATACAATTTCGATAAATGAAATATCATGTTTATGTTCAGAAAAAAATATAATCTAAATTAAAGTAGAAATAGGTAGTTTAAATTTTAAAAAAAATGATAACTATATATATTAATATAAATGAAATGAAATGAAAAAAAAATAGATTATTTTTTCAAGTCTTAATTTGATTTCATTTGCAAGATTCCTCATACGTCTAATGGTTGTACTTGGCAGGGGACCCAATAAGAGACGCAAAATTGGTAAAAAGTTTAGGACCATTGGCTTAGAAATATGATACACTTACTAATTCAACTACAATTGTCTCATCACCATCATTTAATAATTGTTGGTAGGCCACAAACCAGTTATTGATTTTGAGCTCAAATTGTTATAAAAACAAATACTATTTGCTAAAATAGTTTTATTTTTATTTTAATTATAGAAATTAATAGATATTGTTTTTAAATTTATGTAAACAATAATTCAAATCTCGAGTCACGTATAAATTTGATTTGGGCATATATTATATGCTCAATTTTATACGTTTCTATTGTTTCGAACTTTTATTTGAGGATTTCATTGACATAATGACATATACATTTTCTTGTTTACATTACACTTGCTAATCCGTTTTCTTATCAAATTATAAAAGGCTTATGCAGATTCTTGTTCCCACAACATTCTATTATAATTGCTTCCTACATTTATTAGTTTCTTAGAGTTTCTCTAAGATTTATACGTTGTAATTATGTAATGGGTCAATTACAATTTTCATCACTAAACTTTACCCTCTCTCCTATTCTGCTCACTGAACTTTAAAAGTTTTCAATTTCTTCACTGAACTTAATCCATTTTAAAACGATATCACGTTAAAACGATATCATGTAATGGGTCAAATACTTAACGGCTTTAAAACGATGTCGTTTTTAAAAAAAACAATATTTTGAACAAAATGATATCATTTTGCATCTATATAAAAATCCATTTATAACGCTGTTAGTGAGAAAACAATTGAGTGACAAAAAAACTCATTGTATTAAGTTTAATGAGGAAATTGAAAAGATTTAAAATACAGTGAGTGGAATAGGAGGGAGAATTCAGTTTAGTACCGAATTTGTAATTTACCCTAACAAGGTTTATATATAAATATATATATTTGGAGTTTATGAGTGAGAACACGGACGGAGCCACCTTATGAATGTGTCATAGGAGGGGCAGCTGCCCCTAGCATTGACGGGCTAACTACATTTTAGGTCATTGAACATTTTAAAACTATTACAATTAAGTCTTTACTCCCCTAATTTCTTGGTATAATTATTTTTGGGATAACGTCAGTTTTAAAATTAATATAATTAAATCTTGACTCAAAATTTATATGATTTAATTATTTTTAAGACATTTAAATTTTAAAATTAGTAGAATTAAACCCTCCTCTTATTTTTTATGATTTGATTACTTTTTAATATCCTATTTATTTTAAAATTAAACAACTTATCCCAATAATTTACATCATGGTTACGATAATCTTTTTAGTTGTGTCGCGTTTATCACAATTATGACAATAGCTGATGCTATTAAGGAATAATGATTATGACAATATCCTATTTAATTGCGCAATACGATTTTAGATTATATATTTACTGCTATATAATGGCCACTATTTTGAAAGCGAACCACTATTTAAATTTCTGTTTGCCCCC